GGAGACTGGGTCCTCAACCTGTGGGATATGACACTTTTCCCAAGTAGACAAGAATTGCATTTAGAGGATGTCCACCTGGGGTTCACTAAAATTGACTGATTGCAGGTAAGGAGAAGCCCTAACACTTTTTCAAGTCACTGATATTTTCTATGTTGAACGTTGCAGAGAGAACACAGGAAAAAGTACTTTTTTTCTAACAGTAAGAAATCTTATATGGAAGGTGAGGAAGAGTATCGGCATAGAGGTGGTTGGTCATAAGCTGATGTGGTATACTGGATAATGTACATGTGGAAATGAGCTATTCTACTTTTGTACATATTTTGAGTATTCCAGAATAAAAATAGTGAGTTCTTTTTTTAAATAAAAAGAAAAGAAAGAAAAAGATTAGGGTATGCTGTGCTCAATTTCTGATTAAAAGCCACTATGGGACCCGGTGGCATGCACCTGTAATCCCAGCAGCTCGGGAAGCTGAGACAGGAGGATCACAAGTTTGAAGCCAGCCTCAGCAAAAACTGAGGCACTGAACAACTCAAGTGAGACCCTGTCTCTAAATAAAATACAAAAATAGGACTGGGGATGTGGCTCAGTGGTCCAGTGCCCCCAAATTCAATCCCTGGTACCAAAAAAAAAAAAAAAAAAAAAAGCCACTATAAATTCCAATAAAACTAAATTAACTAAATATTTATGGCTACTTATTAAAAACAACAAAATCTCAACATTCAAGCCATATAGTTTCAAAAGAATTTTACTCACTCTGAAGAAGTACTGGTATGATGTTACAAATATGATGTCTTATAGTTTTTCCTTAATAAGGTTTCCAAGAAAATTAGCATCTCTTGGCCTACAGCAACATAACACTATATCAGAAATTCCTGCCTTTTTTTCCTTTTCTACTAGATACATGTATCTATCTACCTAAAACTAGGAAAAAGATAAATGGAACATAGGCACCAATATACAAACAATTCTAGTTTCTCCAAAATAGGGATTCACTAAGTCGTCTTTGCCCCAACATTTTTCAAGAATGACATAATGCATGCAGGCAGTCTACTCACAGGGATACATGGCATTGCTCAGGATCAGCTCTGGTCAATTCTTCCTCTTCAATATCAGACTCCCCTCCTGAACTACTGTCAGTGATGTCTGAATCAAATGCTTGTTCACTGCACCGCAAGTTGGCTATGCCACTAGCTGTAAATCTCTCCAATTCTTCTGAAATTGAATCGCTTTTCAAGAAGTTGCTAAGTCCCTCTGAAGTGGTAGTTTCACTGGCAGCTTTTCTCAAGGCAGCTTCAGCCTTTCGGGTCAGCATCAACTGGCTCCGGGATCTCAAGGATTCCAAATTTGGCAATTTGCTCAAAGTTTTCTCTAAAAATCCACCCAGCTGATGCTGCAAATGCCTCTCCACTTGCTTGGCTTGTACAACCTGTAAGCGCTTCTGTAACCTACGGGCACGGCTCTCAATATCAGCCTGACGCCTCAATAAAGCTGTTATCCTTGTATCAGAATCTAAAGCACTGAAAAGAATGGAAGACAGGGGAGATTTTTTGCCCTCTAACTTGACATCCCCCAAGTTAGAGATGGAGTCTGTACCAGGTGATAACCTACTGCTTCCTTGAAGTGCTGGCTGTTCCATGGAATTGACAGAAGATTTGTTTGCAGTGCTATTATTGCTATATAGAGTTGTGTGTTCTACATCAAGGCTTCTGTGTGGAAGAGTGCAATTGGTCATACCCCCCTTTATGTCCCCAGAGTCAGTTACCGCCACTTCACCTCCCTGAAGAGCAGATGAAGTGAGAGCCCGTTTTCCCCCATTGAGGGAACTGGAATTGTCATGATCAGAATGTGTTGAGCTTTTAGTCAATTTCTTAGCCAACCCATTTACAGGAGCTTGTGGCAGAGCTGTCTGACCACTTGTATTCATGGTTCTAAGATTTTCTAAGGAAAACTCCAAAACTGGCTGTCTCCCCAACAGCTCAGCTCGGAGTTCATAGGATTGAGATAACAGAGAATGAGATTTAAGGACTGTCTGCTTGCTGAAGACCCCTTGCAATTTCAAAGACTCTTTTGAAGGAACAGATGTTACATCAGAGCAGAGGTAAGATGCCACCAGTGGTTGCAGCTTTCCCAAGTCTTCCTTGGTAGAATTACTTCGGAAGTCTAGACTAGGATCCTCTGCAGCAATGGCTTTTCTTTTGGTTCCGTTGGCAGCAATAAGAATATTGGCGTTGCCGTTATTTTCGGCACTGCCGGGGGACAAGGTGGAGGATGGGGGAGCCAGTTTGAACCGGATGTGATGTGCTTCAGCTGCTGCATCGGTGAGAGCGGGCGCCATCGCAGCCATTCAGCACAGAGAGACAGGAAGTCCAGCCTCTCCCGATGCCGGTGCCGGTGCCGAGGCCGAGGCCGAGGCCAGCTCCACAGCCTCTTACTGCCTCCCCTGAGAACAGACTAGAAGAAAAAGGAGAAAAGTTAGAAATACAAAAACACTGAATAACATACATTTTAAATACATACACTATTTAAGGTATTATCCAAATTCTGCCTCCAGGAAGAAAATACTTTGGAGCACTGAATGTCTTTCATCTGGAGGGATGAAGGGAACACAATTCCTGAACAAGACAAAGAATTCTACCCTTCTTTTTGCCACTTGAAAACCAGATTTAAAGTTGCCAAAACAGAAGTTCCATTCAGCGATAATCACAAATTGTTAAATCATTTGTATGTAAAACAAAAATCTCCAAACTTCTTGGGAATCAGTGGATTTAAAGCAAATATATCAAACTAAACATCCTGAAATAGCAAAATATTAGTAAGGAACTCCTCATGCTTACAAAAAAAAAAGTAAGCCAAATGTCATAGGTTTGTACACTTTTCTGGCCAGGAATCCAATTTTCATCAGCTTCCTCCCACTTTTCTGTAAGTACAGTCTGTAATACAAGGATAAATGTACCACTCCTACAATAGCAATTTGCTTCAACAAATTTCTTTCATATCAGAGCACTCATTAATGTCTTCTATACTGGCTCCTTCCCTTCAGCCTAAGAATTTACTCAAGTCTCCTCTGTCCTCAAATTAATTGCCCAACATGTCTCATTCTCTTTAACCAGAAACTTCGTTAAAGAATATTAAAAACAGCTGCCTCTGTACTATTTCCTTTTCCATAATCTAGATTCCATCCCTACCGCTCTGACAAAGGTCACCAGTAGGATCATTTTCAAATTCAATGATCAAGTATGTGTCTCCTTTCTTGACTTCTTCCAAACATGAGCATTGGGCATGCTGACCTTCCTGAAATTCTCCTTTCAACACACAGATTATTAAAATATGCACGCCAGGGTACTTGTCCTTAACACTACTATCATTCTGTTCTTTCTCCTGCCTACCCCTTTAAATGCTGATACTCCCCGCCCCAAGATTCTCAATTCATTTCCTTGGCATCAATTATAGCATGATGGGAGGGGCTGGGGTTATGGCTCAGTGGTAGAGTGCTCGCCTTGCATGTGCAAGGTCCTGGGTTCGATTCTCAGCACCACATAAAAATAAATAGGTAAGGTCTGGGGTTGTGGCTCGGCATTAGAGCGCTCACCTCCCATGTGCAAGAACCTGGGTTCAATCCTCAGCACCATTTAAAAAATAAATGAATAAAATAAAGTTATTGTGTTCCAACCTACAACTAAAAAATAAATATTTTTTTAAAAATAAATAGGTAAATAAAATAAAGTTTAAAAAAAAGAAGTCTCCCAACCAAGATTTTGGAAAAAATTATAGCATGATGAAGCTTACTAACCCTCAAAAAATTTTTTTTCTGAGCTATACTAATCAACATTCCCACTCCTAATCCCTAAACTCCTTGAATCTCAGAACTCCCTTTCTTCTTCCAACACACTTATTCCTCACCCAGTTTCATTATCTTAATTAACAAAATCATTTTTATTTATTTAATAACCAAGCTAAAAACTTCAATCATTTGCCTCTTCTTCATCTCTCTTAATTTATTTGATCTGGGAGCAAACGGAAACCTATGTAAGTCATCTATTCTTAAAATATGGTCTCTGGAATTATTATGGGGATCTCAAAGACCATTTTGGTTTTTGTTTGTTGGGATTTTTGCTTTTTGTTTTTTGCAGTGATGGGGATCAACCCAGTACCTTGCATGTGTGCTACACATGTGCTCATCCACTGAGCTACATTCCCAGCCAAAAAGACCATTTTGGATGTCCATGTTTTCACAGTAAAACTAAAACATTGTCTTTTTCACAGTGTTGACACCTACTCTTCAGTAAGAGAGTGTAAAACCAAAGATGAGCAAAAACTGCTGGTATGTTAGAACAAACTGTATTAAGAGTCATGTATTCTCCACTTGCAGTTAAAAGAAAGCAAGCTCCACTTAAGATGTTCTTGATGAAGCAGTAAGAATTAAAAATTTATTAAATCTTAACCCTCGAGTACATGTTTTAATATTGTGTATTGAAAGGGAAAGTATGTGTAAAGCACTGTGCTGCTTTATGAAGTCTGAGGAAAAGCACTTATACAATTGAGTTACAAAGCTGAACTAGTTTTCTACATGGAATACTATTTTTATTTGGCAGAAAGACTGACAAGTAGTTAGCAGCCATTTTCTCAAAGCTAAACAAAGTGAATCTGTCACTTCAAGGAAAATCATTGACAATATTTTTATTGTCGGGCTGGGGTTGTGGCTCGTGGTAGAGCGCTTATCTAGCATGCATGAGGCACTGAGTTCGATCCCTGGCACCACATAAAAATAAACTTTAAATAAAATAAAAATATTGTGTCCATCTACATCTAGAAAAAAGTTTTAAAAATTTTTAAAAAGTTTGTTGTCAATGATAAAAAAGTGAGATTTCAAGCTAAAATTAGTATTTTGAACTTGGATCCACCTCATGAGCTTGAACATTTCTCCAATACTTAAAAAGCGATTTCTAATTAAACAGATTTGTGGTGATAGTAATCAATGTAAATATCTAACATCATATAATACAATTTCACATTTGAAAGCTCTGCATAATCCCCTAGAAAACTATGTATGGGGCCAAGCACAGTAGCGCATGCCTGTAATCCCAGCGGCTTGGGAGGCTGAGACATGAGGAACTCCAAAGCCAGCCTCAGCAAAACCAAGAGCTAAGCAACTCAGTGAGAACTGGTCTGTAAATAAAATACAGAACAGGGCTGCAGAAGTAGCACAGAGGTCGAGTGCCCCTGAGCTCAATTCCCAGTGCCAAAAAAAAAAAAGAGAGAAAAGAAAAACCATGACGGGGTAAAAATGGGAGTTCATAATCTGCTTGAATCAAATGTATGAAATATGATATGTCAAGAGCTTTGTAATGTTTTGAACAACTAATAATAATAATAAAGAAATTAAAAAGTAAAAAAAAGAAAAACCATGTATGGATAAAACCAAGTGCAAGACAGACCACTGGATCTTAATATAACAGTATGAAAAGTTAACTGATACAATTTTAGCTTCCATGTTACAACCAGCCTTTATAAAACTTTGGGTGAAATGTCATAAGATTTGATTTAAAACAAACAAACAAACAAAAAAAAAAAAACACTCAAACAGTCCTTTTCAAATCTACTTTTCTGATGAGAGCAGATTTTTTCTTTTTTTAGTGCTGGGGATTGAATGCAGGGCCTAGCACATGCTAGGCAAAAGCTCTACCACCAAGCAACATCCCCAGTATTTCCTTTATATACTTCCACCTAAACCACATATCATAATATACTACGTAGAAGACATGAGTACCCAGTTGTTTTCTATTAAGCCAGTTATTAAAAAGATCTGCCAAAAATGTAAAATAATGCCTTTCATTAAGCTTTTGCTTTGGCCAAAAATTATTTTTCATAATAAGTAATGGGTTTATTATTTTAAAATGAAGTAGTAGATAATTATGTTTAAAATTTCTCAAAGTCTCTAATAAAGCGAGTATGTATAGATAATAACCCAAAAAAGGGCTGGGGATGTGGCTCAAGCGGTAGCATGCGGCCTGGGTTAGATCCTCAGCACCACAAACAAAGATGTTGTGTCCACCGAAAACTAAAATATTTTTTTAAAAAAATTCTCTCTCTCTCTCTCTCCCTCCCTCCCCCCTCTCTCTCTTACAAAAACAAAAACAAAAAACAACAACAACAACAAAAAAGCTCTTTGTGCCAGTAATTTTTAAGAGTGTGGTGGCACAAGCCTATAATCCCAGCAACTCCATAGACTGAGAAAGGAGGACACAAGTTCAGCCAGTCCCTGCAACTTAGCAAAACTCTGTCTCAAAAGAAAAAATAAGGACTGGAGATATGCTCAGCAGCACAGTGACCCTGAGTTAATTACCCAGTATTTAAAAAAAAAAAAGTAAAAAAGTCCTACAATCAAAGTTTATGAATACATTATGCAATCCTCCAATTTTGACATTTTCATTCAATACCTACGTGGGATGATAGGCCCTACAGAACTACACTAAGCTTCTTTATAGTATGTCAATTCAAATTATTAATATAAAAATACTAAATTATTGAGAAAACATTATTCCTAGAAGCACCCACACACACGCAGGCCAAATTTGTATACTGCTCTAAATGCTCTAAGTTTCTTATCTAGGGTTGTGTTTTAATGAACTTTCTATAAAAGGAGGTCTTTGGGGCTTATATTTTTATTCTCATGGACTTTTTGGCATACGGCATTCTGTGTGACACAAACTGTTCTATGTTCACTTTTTGCAATTCTGATTTTAAATTCAATACTAATTCCTAACAGAACATAAATGATTGTTATAGGTCAATCGACAACTGAACTAATAGAAATTATTTGTTCAAAATACTGTGTTTTACAACATACAAAAGCATTTTCCCATAAACAAAAAATCACTATCAGATCTTTCCCATCAATCCTACTCTTTTGATTACCAATACACAGTTGATATATCAGCAATGCAAGGAGGCATATTATCAGTGACACAATTAGTACAACATGTGAAAAAATTTGCTGTACCTTACTTCCCAAAAGCACTAAAGTCTCAGCAATGGCAGGAAAACAGCCTTCTTTCTGGGGACCCAGACAAAGGAAAAAAAAAAAAACTTACACAAAATAGAAAAATGCAGGTTCACCCAATAAAAATAAAAGAAGGGTCATGATGGGTAGGTATGGTGGTGCATGCCTGTAATCCCAGCTCCTCAGGAGGCTATGGCAGGAGGATCATAAGTTCAAAGCCACATTCAGCAACTTAGCAAAGCCATAAGCAATTCAGTGAAACCCTGTTCTCTAAATAAAATACAAAAATAGCTGGAGATGTGACTCAGTGGTTAATTGCCCCTGAGTTCAATCAAAAAAAAAATGTGGGGGGGTCATAATCAACATCATACCACTGAAGGTATTTTATTTTAGAATTATTCAATTCTTTAAAGTTTGACAACTTAAAGAAAAATACACTGGCTCTAATTTC